ATCACACTAATCAGACAAAACGCGGAATTGCTTCCACTTTACGCCTGTTTTCTGTGTGGTCGTGATGTTACATAGGACGAGCTGGCTCATTCGTGCGAAGATGTTAAAGCGGACTCTACCACTGAAAACCATCTATTAGGTCTACATTAATACGTGTTCTTTGATTATTTTAAATTTATAATGTTACACGTAATTTAATTTACTTCGTATTTGAGACATAAAGTTGTAATTATTTTCACATATCTTAGAACTTTCAAGTGATGGAATCGATAGATTAATGAACCTTTAGAATTGACAAACGCGTCTCATAGAATGTTAATATATAATTACGTTAGTTACTCTACAATTTGCTATTCATCGTGTCAAATACATGCATATTACATGAAAAGTAATTATTATTATAACTTAATATTTAATACTTGATGAAAATTATCCTTGTCTTTTGATGGTCTTTCAACAAAATGTAAATGAATTCATAGAGACGTGTCATATAACATTAATTGTTTTTACCATGCATTTTCATAGCCGAAGTTTTGATTTAAATATAAAACAGCTCTTGCGCATGACTTCGTCCGCGTGAAATTAAAAAAATAGAGAATATAGCCTATGTTACTCACAGATAAATTACTATTCTAACGGTGAAAGAATTTTTAAAATCGGTACAGTAGTTTTTAAGTTATTTCATTATATACAAAAACACAAATCTTTCCTCTGTACGAGGGTATACTATGGTATTAACCAAGGGTTTCGTCAGCCGATGATCAAGGAAGGGGAAGGTTAGCCTTTGATATGGGGAAGCCAATAATTAAGGGGTGGTTAGTAGTTAAAATGTGTTTTATTCAGAAAAAGAATGCTCATCAACTTGTACTTTGTAATTAAAAACTGAAGACTTCTTCTATTTGGGTTTATACATAGGTATTGTAGGCACATTGACATTGGTTTGTTATCTTACTAATCTTATCTTACTATTACTAATATTATAAATGCGAAAGTTTAGATGGATGGATAGATGGATGGTAGGATGGATGTTTGTTAGCGTTTATAGCCTAAACGGCTGAACGGATCTCTATGAAATTTGGCACAGGTTTAGAGCATAGTCGGGAAGAACACATAGGCTACTTTTAATCCCAGGAATAGTTATGGTTCCCGTGGGATTCATTAATTTAGCTTTTTAATGTTTACTCGATCAATCTGCAACGGTTCAACATATCTTATTGAAATTTGGCACAGATATAAAACAAAGTCTGGAGTACACATAGGATAAGCTTCATCCCCGAGAAATGTCCGGTTCCCGAGGGATACGTTACTTTTTGTAATTCATATAGTTTGTATGTTTTCTAATACTACGCGGACGAAGTCGCGGGCAACAGCTCGTATTATCTATTTTACATTTTTAATTGCCACCCACTTTCCAGCGACAGACATGGTATTAACATTCTATTGTCTATGGTATTTGCAAACTTTTTATTACTGTGTTTAGAGCTATACAATTTTCTTATCTAATTGAGTGTTCAGTTGAGAGATAGCAAAAAGCGGTTCAATGAACTAGCCCACGAAATAGGATTTCCGAGAATATAGAGATCGTAAAAAAAATATTAGGGATATAATCGTTTTATTTAGATTATCCAAATCGTAATGGATATGTGAGATAGAAAAATATATAACTCTATTTGATGAACCATGAAAAAATACTATCGTTTGATGTCTTTGGTTGCAAACATTTAACTATTTCACTATATAAATGTGTGTATTTTCTATTATGTTATTGTTATCTACATGCTAAAAATTAGAGATTCCTAAACTACCTCGTGTAAACCTTTATCGAAATTTTACTGGTTTCGGTGACCACTTTGAGTATGACTGTTATAAAAAAGTCTTTACCAAGCATCGGAACAAGGCACAGCAAAAAAACATCTTATTTCTAACTAGCTTTCGCCCGCGACTCCATCCGAGCGAAATTAAAAGAAAACAAAAGTGACCTATGTGTTCTTCCACGGTATGTTCTACATTTGTGCCTTTAACAAACATTCATGTACAAATTTTCATATTTACAATATTAGTAATATGAGAAGTAGGATAAAAGTAAGAATTTCGAACTACTATATTTTTAACACGCTCACTGCGTAACTGGCCGATGTCGGCTTAACGTGGTACTTAGGCCGATGCGGACGAAGAAAACTATGTCCCTCTCGCCAGTCAAACGATTATCTCAGGTAATTACATTATATACAATAAAATGTATACATTGTGTTTGCACAGAGTTAAAGCAATTTAATCTATCCTAGTGCTGGTAGGTCTAGAAAGACCTGCCTCGCACTGGCGGAAATATCTTTGGGGGCGCATTTTGGCCTGCCGCACCATATGAAAAATTATGATTTTACTTATCGCAGTAAACGTGTTAAACTATGAAATAAAAAGTTTTATAATTCAATTTATAGATGTTGTAAGTAAAAACATAATAATTGTTGGATTTCAAAGGAAACTAATATTCACATCGTAACTTTGTCTTAGTACGAGAATGTATGCGAAAGGTACAATTTATTTCCTCCTCCGGTAAGCGTGTTCGTAAATATTAATATAGTGCATGTGATTAAAATTTTCCACACTATGTTTCTAACATAAATTTGCAAGAATATTAACTAGTATTTCATTATAATGAATTGCATTAGAACATAGTATGAAACATGCTGTTTTAACGGAAAATATGAGCTATTTTAAGATCTTTGTGATAACGTAATTGTATATTTATCTATAGATAAATCCTATATATGCATATATTTAAATAAAATGAATGATTTAGTAATTATTTATCGTATCTACTTATAAATTATTAATAGTCATATAATAAAAACAGCATTCCCGCGTCAAGAACTTGAAACGAACTCTCAATAAAATACTGACCTCTACTAAATGGACAGGCTGATTGTGTGCCTATATGATTTTCATTTTGGCGCTGTCGGTTGCGGTTTTGTCGGTGGCGAAGCTTCTAACAACATTTTCAAGTGTTAGCAGTCATCAGAATGAAAAGCATGTAATAACCAACCAATAACCTATCCATTTAAATATATTTTTGATGTAAAAAGTGCCTGTGACATTGTGTTGACTTTCCAAATTAAATAACAAACCAACGCTAAAGGTACGTTAGCAAAACAACAATCAAATGGATCTAAATGTTCTGTACTAATGAGTCTGAGCTCTGGTTTAGTGCTAACCGAATTTGATGTTGTTTGTCTAGTATTTACATAGGCCGTAAACTGTTTATACTTCATTACTATTCGAGGTTTATTAGTTATTAGTGCTCGTTCGCGGTACTATCAGACATAGCCAATAACATTTCCGCAAACATTAGTTACATTCTAATAAAAGTCCCGTCAAAATTGGACCAGCCGTTTCAGAGATTACCCGGAACAAAGGCAACCATGCTGATAGATCGATAGATAACCTTGACCTTGTAGATGGTCTGGATGTACATCTGTCTATAAATCCAGACCCTCAAATTTTATTAAAATGTCTATAATTGGTCAGGATAGTACGAATGTATGATTGAGTTATTATGGTATTTATTCCGTAATAGTGTTTCAAACTTTCGACATTGTTACAAGACATATTAAATTACTTGAAATAAAAAAAACAGACGAAAAAATGATGAGACTTATATTTTGGTCAAATATTGTATTTTACATTTAGAGCATTAAAATATAAATTTTAATATACTCGATATATAAAATGGCAACACCACATTATTAGTTGCCATGAAAAGTGTTTGTTCTTGTAAATGATAGAACATAAATTCATTAGATATTCATATAGTATGTTAGTACGAGTTCTACTTTCACAAAAGCTCCGCAAATTTCAGTTCAAGCCATTTGCTAAATTGTTCTACTAACTATACCAATTTATCTATGTCCTATGTCTGATATTTTTAGGTTGATTAAAATAAAGTGAACCATTATTTTACAGTACAAAACATTAAAAATTATAATGAAGTGTTGTTATATTGGATTTTCTTCGTGAAATATATATACACTAGCTGTTGCCCGCGACTTCGTCCGCGTGGTATTAGAAAACATACGAACTATAAAAAGCTACATATTTCTCGAGAATGAACCTTATCCTATGTGTACTCCAGACTTTGTTTTATATCTGTGCCAAATTTCAATAATATATGTTGCAGAATGATCAAGTAAACATTAAAAAACCAAATTAATGAATCCCACGGGAATCTTAACTATTACCGGGATGAAAAGTAGCCTATGTGTTCTTCCAGACTATGCTCTAAACCCGTGCCAAATTTCATGGAGATCCGTTCAGCCGTTTAGGCTACAAACGCTAACAAACATCCATTCATCCATCGTAACTTTTGCATTTATATTTATATGATATATGATATGATTTGAATAGAAAAAGGTTTGTTACAAAGTTCTTGAATGAAAAAAGATAGTAAAAATCAGAATAAATTATGTTATCATTGTTTTGTTTTATATATAGTGGAATTAACTTTTGGATTGGTATACGAAATGAACATAACCAATTCGTTTGATGATCGTCCAGACGGCGTAAAATATGATTGTACAGACTTAAAATAAAACTTATTTTACCAAGAGAATTTCAATATCAAACATAAGAAGTGCAGTTCAAAGATCTACATATTATTATTTTTTTCACTAAGTCTCCACATAATATATGCTTTAGCCTTTCTTGCGAACTGAAATTTGGTTAGGGTTCACTGAGCAGTTAAGATTTGTAGATAAAAGTAATCATTTTCTTTAAGATTTAAACCAATCACAAATTGTAAAATTAATTAAACTCATGCATTGCAAGAACAATTGGTAAAACAATTTTAAAATATCTGTTTAAAAAATTATTAACAATTCGGAATAAATACGAATGAAAGATCTTTTTAAGTTGGGCTTAAAAAGTTTTTTCTTTAAACAGCAAAATAAATAACAAATTATTTTACGGCTATTACTCACTTTTTTCGGTGACGACACCGACCAGTTTCAGTTTCCTTCTTCAGGGCAAGGGAGTAATGGATTTGTATCGCGGTCGCGTCGCGCCTCGCACTGTAAACAAAGTAAATATTTCTAAATACATCTTTTAAATCAATATAAATACTTCTTTTAAAAAAAGTAACCTTAATTCAACTTTTATAACACAAAACAGTTAAATTGTTACATAGAGGCACTTTTATAATAAACTTATTAAGGGTTGGTCACCGGATACTTTGTGTAGTGTCTAAACTGACTAAAAAAGTTCAGATCACATTTGATTGAGCTACAGCTCAATAACTAAATTACCAGCTCAAAGATCAATGCGATTTCTATATGATAAGCCTACATACCGAGACCTGCGTAGTAACGCTAATTTTATTGTTCGACTGACGACTGTTCGAACGACAACGTTTAGGCAAAGCGCCATTGCTCTCGTCCAGCTCAAGCCCGGTAAAGCCTCTATAAGATAATCAGTGGTATATCAATAATGAAAAAGCTATACGCTCTTTTTTAAAGCAGCGGGAACAAGTCCATGTTAGTTGAGTTACCCTTGACCACAATGTACATATAAATCTATTATAATATTATAAAGAGGAAACATTTGTATTTTTGTATGTATTGAAATAACTCAAAAACTACTGGGCGAATTTAAAAATTCTTTGACTGTTAGAAGGGTAATTTATCTGTGAGTAAAATAGACTATGTTTTTTTTGTTATTTTTTTATTTCACGCGGGCGAAGTCGTGAGCAACAGCTAGTGTGTATATATTTAACGACACATGATTCGTTTTTAGAGTCTCTTTTGTTTTTATTAATCGTAAACATTTGATTGATACTTCTATATAAGAAGTGGTTTCGATAACGTCGCTGAATCCTTAAAATGTGTTCAAATATAGACTTTAATTGTAAAGTTTAAGGTACAAATTGCATGTCTTAAAAGACCTATTTATTGTCAATACGCCTTATGAGCTATATTATTTATTCTTAAATAAAAGCTGCGAATTTTGGACCGAGATGACTAAAGATTATATGTAGCTAAGTTGGAGATAGTAAAGTATTTTTACTCTTACTTCAAACTAAGAATACAGAAAAAAATTTAATCTACAATTGCAGCGCGATTGTTTTGATAATGCACTCACGGTGTATTCTAGAAACATCCTTCGTAATACAGCTGCCGACGCTTTAGTACTATAAATTTTGTTACTTTTAGTATACGAAATTTGAGAAAATTCTTTCGCATGAAGTAAAAAATGTGACCAAATGACATGGACTACCTTTCCAATAATAAAGAATAATAAAAATCGTTCAACCAGAAGTAGAGTTAAAAGTAAGGAAAACAAGAAAAAACGTACAGACGAATTGAAAACCTCCTCATTTTTAGAGTCAGTTAAGAAGCAAACATCATTATTCCATCATTTTATTGCAATAAAATTATCTTTTTATCGATAACATACATATTTCTACGGCATGTTTTACTCATTTTTTTTCTCTCGACTGACCAACTTTCTCTAATGAATCCGTATAGACAACTATAATGCATTGAGAATTGTCTAGTCGGCATAATTTTATATAAATAAACATCCGTAACCCCGTCTGTCTGTCTCGATTGTCATGTTTCCTACTTCCCATATTTCATTACGAAAAACATATATTTTTTCCTAACGAATAACTCTAGTAAGATAAACAACTTCGTTAGCCGAGATCCTAAGAGCTAGCGCACACCTTAAACTAAACTATCGCACAACTGTTTAGTCTCGCTTTGATTGCTATTAGCTTATATGATGTGCCCTCGACTCGATTTTTAATTGTGCAACTAAAGTGAGAGTCAAAATGGCGGGTGTACCATCGCGAATTATATTATACCACTTACTAAAAAAATGTACCTAAAATTATAACGAAATTAATTACGTTCTAGAGAAGGTACAATTTTTTTTGAGCGAGTACAATTTTTTTAGGTACATTTTTTTAGTAAGTGGTATAATTTAATTAGCGATGGTACACCCGCCATTTTGACTCTCACCAACTAAACAGTGAATGAGGTGCGAAACAATCGACAATCGCACAACAGTGTGCGATTGTTTAGTCAGAGGTGTGCGCCTGCTTTAAGGACAATTTATAATATTTGCGTTAAATTAATTTCTTTAACAGACCATTTTTATTATCATTATATTGATTATACTGAGGTTATTCAGACGTTAATAAAACATTTTTCCATTATCCCAAGCATCTTTTTATATTGTAAGCAATATCAAAACTGTAAAGCGTTTTGTCCCTTTAAAAAAAATGTGTTTGATATTTAAATATATTAAAACACGCTTTTTCCATACCCAGACAGAGGCAATAAAAATGCTACAAGGTTGTTTTGATGTCCTATCTAACCTTCCCTTTGTTGGCTATAAGTTCGAAAAAAATCAAACAATTTTTTGCGATCATTTTTCGTAGATCGACACCAACTAAATTGCTTTACAATGTAAAAATTCTTTAATAAATTGAAAACCGAGTGATGTTAAAACATAATAGTCTTAATTTAAACTTATAAATTTGTCTATTTTTTCATAATAGTTATTAAAATATCATAAAACTTTTACAACTTCGATTGATTATAATCCGCTGGACGTCGAATTTATGATCTGAAATATAGTGCCCTTAAATATAAGGAGACTATCCCTGACCTCGGTCTACCGAATCTATTATAAATCTCGATAAACTTCAGTATCATATAAAACACACTTATATCTGAAAGTAAAATAAGTTCATATTCATAGTAATTTTATACCATAATTCCTAATATCTATACTATCTATACTATTATAATAAAGCGTAGACACACACTTCTTTGTTGCCTAAGATGTCACAATTACAGCATATTTGTGAATAATTCTTTTTTTAATAAAAAGCCCTACACTTACGTCACGCTTTAGACTATATATTTTAACGCCATTAAACTTAGGGGATAAATATTTTGGATAAAAACCCTAATGTGGGAAAGAGACCATTAGTTGCTGCCAACATAAAGGAAGCAAGGTTGTCATCATGTCATGTCATTTTGACATTTGCAATTGATAATTTGACATGTAAATAATAGAATAGAATTTTCATAATTTTATGCGGATGAAGCCGCACGCGAACAGCTAGTCTTAACGATAACAATTGTTGAATCGCCAAATAAAGAAATGTAAACGTTATTGTCTCGGATTTCGAGAGGGTTATTAAATCAAGGTCGCTTTTATCCCTATTTAAAAACCTCATTGTTACATAGTCTTTAGACGTACTGACAGACGTTACACAGTATAATGTAACATGTAACACGGCGAGCAATTGTAAACTTATTTTAAATCATACTAATTCTACTAACACTATAAATGCGAAAGTTTAGATGGTAAGATGTAGCTAAACGGCTGAACGGATTTCAATGAAATTTGGTATAGATGTAGAGGATAGTCTGGAAGAACACAGGCTTCTTACTTTTGTTTTTTAATTCCACGGGTACGCATTCGCGGGCGAAAACTGTTTTTAAATAGTTTCATCCAAAAATAATCACTCTTTCATTCAAATTAATTTACTTCAAATTGTTAATTACAATACATTCTGTAATTATTTAACATTTTAAAACATTATTAAGAATTTGATTTGACTATATTGCTCAAAATTTACGTTCTTTTGCACCAAATATATTTCGGTACCTTTGACTTCACCATCCATTCTACTTTCGGTTCGTCGAACCTAAATTGGCTTTTAGTTCCAAGAATGTTACTTTAGTAGCGATAGAGGCTCGATTGTCAATCCTCTTTAGATGAGTAACTTTTCAACAAGTTGGAGTTAACGACACACAAAGTAAGGCAATTAAGAGTTCGTAGATAAATTCAAGTTTAGAACTTTCAATAGATCAAAGTTATTACATTTGAATAAATAGTACATAACTATAGTAAATTTTTAATAGTACTAGCTGTTGCTCGCGACTGCGACCGCGTGAAGTTAAAAAATAACAAAATACATCACATATGTTACACACAGATAAACTACCTTTTAAATGGTGAAAGAATTTTTAAAATTGGCACAATAGTTTTTACGTGAATCCAATACATATAAAAATCCAAAAATAAAAATCTTTCCTCTCTATAATATTAGTATAGAGTATAAAGTGACAAATGAATAAGCGTCCGCCGAAATTATGCATAATAGCGAATTTTCCATACTTGCCTATGATGCGTATTTTTAATCTGCAGAGAAGGGGACGCACAGCAGAGGATATATCCCTACCCCGTCAATTTCGATTTCCAACAAATTGAAACGTGACTTTATTGGTTTTCAAATAAAATTGGCTAGACTAAATTCCATCACTGTGAAACTTTTAGTTATTCCGAGAATTGTTACTTTATATAATTTTATAGGTATTTTATGCATGTATAAAACGCTTGTTACTATCGTAAAGCAGAATTCCAGTAATTAAAACAATTTAAAACTCGTACAATAACGTTACGCAGCCAATGGACTGGATGTATGAACTTTTATTCATTATCATTAAAGTAATTATGGGGATAAAACCAGGTTATATCATTTAGTGGAGCCCGCTTTAACATCTTCGCACGAATGGGCTTGCTCCCCACATCAATACCACGACCACACAGAAGACAGGCGTAAGTGGAAGCAATTCCACGTTTTGTTTGATGAGTGTGGTGTCGGAGTCCCTTTTCCTTTCCACCCTATTCTTAAGACGAAAGGAAAAGAGGATTTGACGGTGAAAGACACGCATGAGAAGGGGAAATATTCTATTTATGTGCGTCTCCTCTTCCGTTGATTAAGGGTTGACAACGCTTCTGCAATTTTGGATATCTATGGGCAGCGGTCGTTTCTCCATTTCGTCGGATGCAGGTGGCCGTTAGCTCGTTTGCCACCTTATAATGTAAAAAAAAGACGTTACATATTTAAATATTGTTTCAGTATAAGGCTGTAAAAGTTTTAACAAATATTTTGTTGGTTATAATATATTTGCGCAATCCGATTGAAATTCCATTAGAGGTCTAATGTAAGGGCTCATGTAATATTAAAATTGATTCAACCTTTCTGACCCAT